CTTTTGTGGAGTGAAATTCTGCTGTTTGTTGTTGTCACATTGTGCATCATTATTGATCTGTCCAGTCAATTAACCCTTGGTTGATAGATGGCTACTTTACCTTTTTTCTAAGAAGATTGCAGATTGGGTCTATATCCACATGTTTGTTGATTGATATTTCGTTTGAATGTCAGGTATCCAGAAATTCTCTTGCAGTGCTGGAACCTGATCTTTCGAGGATTTCCACATCCTCACAGTCAAATTTGTGGACGTGATTGTTCGCAAGGATTGAAACCAAAGAGGCCGTGTCACATCGCTTTACTACTATTTGGTGTTTTGTATTTTTAGAGCAATGAGATAGCTAGACTGGCCAGCATAGTGGTGTGAACAATCTTGGCAATCGATTTTGTAGATTATAACCTCTCTTCTTTCGGCAATGGATCCTACGATTTACACAACATGCCGTGTAGTAATTCCGTTGGTTTGTGTGCTACTCCGATTTAGAAAGGATGAATGAATCGGTTGACTGTTTCTGAAACATTTTTGACGTAGTGGGGTGTATCGTATCTATCGATTTGAGGCAGTTGCCCTATCTTCTGTCGCGCTGATAAACACTTTTGATAAAGTATAAGGGTTTTTATAGGATACCGTCGTTGATTGAACCGAATTCCACTGCTAGCCACGATCCATCATTAACTTTTGGTAAAGTTGTGTAGAATATCATTGGTTTTTAAAACACTTTGTACAAGGATTTCTATTCGGTTTTCCGTTGTGCTTCAACACGTTTCGGCTCTTGAGAATGATGTTTGTACACAATGTGTGTGGCTTGCCTGTACACTTGAGTTTGTAAAACCCCGTCATGTGTTCTGCTGATGAAGGCAAATAAGAATGGAATTTTGTTGCTGGATTCGGCTGGAAGAGGGTTCAGACTGGTCAGACAAAGACGTGGTACCAGCGTGTTAAGTCCATGACTGTTGATCTGAGCCCTGTGTGTGGAGGGGGGGGTGAAGACTAGGTGGCTGGGGTCCCCGAGACAATAGAAATCAACAGCTGAGGACCGTTGGTGAAATGGCTGAAAGTCAGTCGCATATGTATTCACTCTTTGACGTCTTTTAAAGGTTGAATATTTGCACTAACATTTATCTTTAATTTGCTAATTATCTCACAAAATTCTTCTGACTTTAACATCAATTGTTTACTCTCTGCTTGAACTTTCCATGCTAGTGTGAAGTATGACAGGTTTAACCGATGCACTTGTGTTTCTGGTATGCTAGGACCTGAAGGAACAAACATTCCAACCAGCGTAGCTTATTGGATCATGGTTATTTACAAGCCTGACGAGAATATGTAGGCAATATTAATCAGGTGGGTTTTTGTCATTCAGGTGCACTTTAAGTCAAAGCCAAACCAATAAGGCATATCTCACTTCATTTGTAGCAACAACTATCCAAATAGAATACTACCTTATTTTCATTATATGGTATTGCAAAGTGCAACAACTTGCATTGAAAGTAACAGGTAATCAAAGGATATTTTATAGACTATTTGTAACCATATTGTTACATAACAAGTTGACTCACCACCACTCCAAAATGATTGACGCAGAATAAGGCTCTCGATAAACCTCTCTTAGATGGCACAGTACATTAACACCAGGTTAATTCGCTATAACAATGGATAGTTGCACAAAAATGATGTGTTGCTGGATAAAGTATGCAAAGCAAACACGTGTAAACGCAAACGTGTTAGCAATAAAAGAAATTTTACCCGTTTGGAGTGATCAAACAAAAAGGCCTTACTTTCTTCTGATTTGTACATCAACCTACTGAGGTAAGAAAATACTTTACCACAGTATTCTTTGTTCTACATTACAGCACAGAAGAAATAATAAATCATTATCATTCATCAATAATCAACATAGGACCAGGCATTACTGCGTAATGGTCCGATTTGCCACACCTCATATCAGTACATCAAGTAAAAAGACAGTGGGAGATGGAAATTGAATCAAAAGAAATATAAAGTACGGAAAGAGAGAAAAGAAGAATGAAAAATATGGTGAGATTTGGTATAGCGTCGGCAAGATGAGGATAATGTGTGTATACATTTGCGTCACTGACACCAACTCTTAGCCATATCACCTTGAGTCAATCTCCAACCACTGGTTCCTCCTGTCGCGCAAACGCCAACCGATTAGTCTGCGTCGCCCCACATGGCCCAAACCAACAGTTAGAGACCTTATACACTGATGCCAGTTTTAGTCTGGCCACCTCAAGCCTTTTCCCAGCGTGAACCTACTTCGGCCAACATCGAGTAACGAGGGAGACGGCGACTAGACATACGTAACACATGTCGGAGCTAACCATCTCAGTTGATGAAGGTTCATAACCTCGTCAACTGACTTACCTTTTCTCCCTAAAACTCTACACCTCACTTCTGTTACTCACGTAGTGATACCACGGAATACGCCCTACACTACGAAGGTAACGGTGGCCAAACACTTGAAGCCTTCTCATGTCTTCCACCTTCAATGGCCATGTTTCACAGCCATACAGTAGAACAGACCAGACTGCTGTGCAGTACACGTGACCCTTAGTAGACAATCGAATATCATGGTAGCGTAAATTGGCAAAAGCCAATTGAGCCTTTTGTATTCGTGCAGAGATTTCATCGGTCATTGAGCCAGCTACCAGGGCTGATCCTAATTCCCAGGTAAGTGAAGTGGTCAACACACTCAACCACTTCACTCTCAATTGTTAGCCGTGGCACTGTTGAAGACCAATCCTCGAGCAACAATTTGTATTTGGATGGTGAGAAATGCATCCCAAACATTATCAAATTCCCACTCAGTGTTCAGAAGACTCTGCATCTTGTTAGCGTCTTCACCTAACAGGACTATGTCATCTGCATATTCTGGGTCTAGTGAAAATTCTCCTGCTATTAGGTCAACTTCTGTGTAATCAGACGACGAGAGGGAAACCTTCATAAGAATATCTATGATAAAATCGAATAAGAATGGAGACAGTGGGTACCCCTGACGGACGCCACTCAATGAGTAGGGCTCGCGTGACATCTCACCATAGGCTCTAACACGCCCGCAACTGTTCGAGTAGAGAGCCTTCAATAAGGTGATGTACTTACTCGGCACGCCTTTCAGTGACAGACATTGCCATAAGACTTCTCGACCAAGGGAGTCGAACGTCACCTTCACGTCGAGAGATACAGCTAGTGTCGGTAGGCGTACCTACTTTCCAGAACCTAGAGCAGTGTGAATATTTAGTCGATACACCCGGGGGCAGGTCTAAAGCCTGCCTAGTTTTCTCAAGCTTGCTGTTCTTTAGCTCCACTTAGGCGTCGAAGAATTATCGAAATAATAAAAGGAAGGCTTTGTTAAAACATTCAACACATACGGTAGATACACTTGACCATTAGTGTAAGTTAGTGTTTGTCAGTTGGTGACAGTCTAGTATAGATATGATTGAACATTTTTATACAAGCAGTCAAGGGAATTTTCGAGCGATTAGAAACTAAGTCCAAAAGAAAAAAAAACTGTATAAAAGAATTCCAAATGATAAAGACAAGAAGTTAGTCATCATTTGGCTTCAATGTGACAACAGCTGACCTCTAAACTCAGCTATCAAGGTTAAACATTTCAAGATAATCAGTCATCCTAAATCTGATATAACACAAATATATCAACAAAAGGAGAGAGATAGAGAGAGAAAAAAAACAGAACAACTTCAACTTGAACTTGGTACTTTACAAGTATGCCTATATGTTTTGCAAGCCAGAAAAGATTAAAAAATACCGGCAATATATCAAGAAAAAATCTACACAAAATTTAAGAAAGAAATAATTTACAGTTTATAATAAAGTAATACATGTTTGAAAAAAAAAAAAACATTTGTTTCATAAAAGAATTACTTTCATGCAGAAATGAAAAACCTTAAGAAAACTAGAAAAATGTAGAAGAAGAAGAAGAAGAAGAAGAAGAAGAAGACTGATTGTCAAGCAAAAGTGATATACAAATAGATGATCCATTGAAATATAACCATGAAAATCTAATGAATTCTTATAAATCAACCCATCTCAGTGAATCATGTATGTATTATGTGCATAGAACAATTTTCTCATAACTATCAGTAGATATGAAATATACATACATACATACACCCCTTTTTGTGTATGTGCATACACATTGTTATCATTGACACCTTGGAGTAGTTTGAGAAGCCAGAACCAATTTGGAATTCATCAGTGTCAAAGATTAAGGAGATTAACAGTTAATAATATCTCATTGAATACACTTCCTTCAGTATGAGTAATAAATAAAAAAAGGAAAACACGATTCATCCAGATCAACCTAGGACCAGGCATTATTGCTTAATGGTCTGGGTTGCCACACTTCACGATGCTTTCAAAATGAAGTAGATAAATAGAAGGATATAAACTATCGTCAAATCAATTGGACTCGGTAGTTGATAATACTCTTCTCTAGAAAAGTCCAATTGATTTGACGATAGTTTATATCCTTCTATTTATCTACTTCATTTGAAAGCATCGTGAAGTGTGGCAACCCAGACCATTAAGCAATAATGTCTGGTCCTAGGTTGATCTGGATGAATCGTGTTTTCCTTCTTTTATTTATTACTCATACTGAAGGAAGTGTATTCAATGAGATATTATTAACTGTTAATCTCTTAATCTTTGACACTGATGAATTCCAAATTGGTTCTGGCTTCTCAAACTACTCCAAGGTGTCAATGATAACAATGTGTATGCACATACACAAAAAGGGGTGTATATATATATGTATGTATATTTCATATCTACTGATAGTTATGAGAAAATTATTCTATGCACATAATACATACATGATTCACTGAGATGGGTTGATTTATAAGAATTCATTAGATTTTCATGGTTATATTTCAATGGATCATCTATTTGTATATCACTTTTGCTTGACAATTAGCCTTCTTCGTCTTCTTCTTCCACATTTTTCTAGTTTCAATTCAGATTTAACCAAGTCTGCGTCGAGCAATCTGAACTCCTCCAGCAGTAGCGTTAACAGAATTATCAACATTGGCATCACTCTCAGCTGGAGCACTAACACCTGCAGTATCTGGAAGTGTTTGTAGGCGATTTGCTGCATTAGTCGCATCGTCGTTTACCGTATTTATATTAGATGATGTCGCAGTAGGACCTCTTTGCTTAAGGATTGTCCAATCGAAGACATAATCAAACTGATGACTCATTGTTCTAAATAGAATACGGAAAAGTTGACGAAGATACATATAGTCTGGGGCTTCATCAAATCGTAATCCTCGGCAGTAGTTAAGGTACATCTGAAATTCAGCTGGATAACCTTTACACAATGCTTCAACAGGTGTTGACATCTTTTTCTCGCTTATTCTTTCATATTTTTGGCGTTTTGTAGTCGCCTACACGAAAGGAGAAAAGGTGATGAAAGAGGGATAAATGATAGAGACAATAAGCGCTTAAAATAGTTGAAAATTTCCGGATTCGAACCAGCGACCACGGGTTAACGGACCAGTGCGCTACCAACTGAGTTGCGAGGTGAAATAAAAATCTGGTTAGCAGTCAGACCTCGTAGCTCATTTGGTAGAGTACTTGGCCGGAAACCCAGTAGTCTCTGGTTCGAATCCCACCGTGGTCCAAATTTTCATTTCACCTTCAATTATCACCCAGTACAAATACTACTCTGCCAAACTACGGTTATCTCAGATAGTCAAAATGATAATTATTTGAATCACAACACCTAGGGATTAGAGAAACGTGATGTTAAGCAGTAAGAATATAGAACTGCTAAAAATGTAGGATTAAATTATATGAGGATACTAAACCTATAATCACTGGCAAACGATGTCTTCGAAAACTTGTCTTTAGTTTGTACAGTCGTTTGAAAAAACAGCCTCATAGAAAAATATGTTCAACATAAAAGTACAGGTTTTTGTACCATGCTGAAATAACACTAGGCTGTCAACACTGAACCAAGATCCAGTAATGGAAAGTTGGATGCTTATACTACAACTACAACTCGTCTTAAATAGACAAGTAACTCTATTATCGAAAATACCTATTCACCGAAATACCTTTAAATATACATGTTTGATAAGATTACAAAAGCGTTAACAGGAAATTTCTATCTGTTTCATCCCAATGTCATATTTTACTATTTTATTTATTATTTGTCCTTTGGGTTCCTAATGGAACATACAGCTTCAGTAGCATGTCTCCATTACACTCTATTCTCTGAAATCTTTTGAACCTGGCTCCACGACAACCCACAAGCTCTCACTTTTTCCTTGCACGATCTCCCCCATGTCACCCTCACATGGGACGCCCAACTCGCCGTTTCCCATCTGGGTTCCACTCAAGGACCTGGCCTGACGCGTGATGTCCCCAGTCGGCCTTCTCACTGTATGCCCAATCCATCTCCACTTCCTTCTCCTAATGTCATATAATTCTCTTAATTTTGAAATACGCCTGTTAAGTGAAAACATGCCTAAAACACGCTTAAATGAATATCTTAGCAAACTAGGCAGGATGGTTCTCCATGCATTTCTTACCTTATATGATTAAAACCGATATTTTAAAGTTATTATGCATCTGGATAGCGTAATTAGAAGACGACGTTTATCTGAACTATGTGAGTGATGTATTTACGCAATATAACATTTCGAACAATCTGATCACACACACACACACACACATACATTTACTTGTCAAGTCACTTTATGTTACACCGTGGAGTGGAAGGACAAATACAACAATTAACATAATAGGGGATTAAAATGAAGAAAGATGATAGCTAAAACAGAGAGTGACATAGTTGATTCTAATCTTGGTAAGAAAACAAAGTTTACCAAGGCGTAAGTGTAGTGTACACGAGCGAATTGGCTTTGTGCACATAAAGGTGGTTTCAATTTGTGTATGTCTATGGCTTCCGCAAACCTCAGTATAGGTCCCTTACTGTTTCTATATAAAACTTTGAAAGCTCTTTGAACATTAACTTTGTGACGTGTTTCTATGATATATTTAGCTATAGACGAAGAGGGTCGTTCCCACCAGTGTTTATTATTGTTTCACACTCCATATGTTTTTGAAGCCATCTAGGTACATGTTCTCCCACTCTCAACTGGGTATGTATGACCACACACACACACGCACACATGCAAACTGGCAAACACAATGTGACGTAATCATTGATGTAGTGTTTAGGTTTGTCGTGAAGCATGTATGTTTTATTTTTCCCACAATGATAAGATTATTTTTATTATTATTAGTCCTTTGGGTTCCTAGTGGAACATAGGGCTTCAGTAGCACGTCTCCAGTGACCTCTGTTCTCTAAGATCTTTTGAACCTGGTCCCACGACAGCCCACAACCTCTCATTTCCTCCTCGCACCACCTCCTCCATGTCACCCTCACCTCGGACGTCCAACTCGTCGCTTCCCATGGGGATTCCACTCGATGACTTGGCCTGACGCGTGATGTCCTCAGTCGGCCTTCTCAGTGCATGCCCAATCCATCTCCATTTCTTCCTGCATATTTGCTGCGTGATAGGTTCTCGGTTGGTTCGTTCCCAGAGTTCCTTGTTGCTTATTCTTTCTGGCCATCTGATCTTCAGTAGCGAGCCAGCGTAAGCAGTTGTTGATGAATGTCTGTAGTTTATTGGAAATGCCTTTCGTGACGCGCCAAGTCTCTGAACCATACAGGAGCACTGACTTGACGTTGGTGTTGAAAATCCGTATCTTGTTCCACATGCTGAGTGCAGTGCAGAAGATCTCCACACTGCTTTCAGGCTAATGAACGCCTGTCTTGCCTTTCCGATTCTGACTTTGACGTCCTCGTCCGTCCCGCCTGTAGTTGAAACAGTGCTTCCTAGATAAGTGAAGGAGGTTACTTCCTTTAAGTTTCTCCCGTTGACGGTGACTGGAGTTTGTTGATGGTGGTGGTGCGGTATCTTCATCACCTCTGTCTTCTCTATATTCACTTGAAGACCCGTCTTCGCTGCCTCTTCTATCAACTTGTTAGTTTTTGCGTGCAGATCTTCAAGTTTATGTGACATTAGCTGCATAATATATTTTCTGAATGGGTGATATCAGCCTACGTCTCAAAACAATACCATCCAACTCCTCTCTGTATGGTAGAGTAATATGGACGCTTTTCTTAGGAACCATGTATAGAGTTGGCTTCAGTGCTACCTGACTTCCACAATGGTTTGTAAACTCCATTTTCCATAAGTGCTTTGCTCAGTAATTTGATATTTTCATCCCTGGTATCTGGTGTACTGATACGAAAGATCCTAGTGAACAGGCATTTTATTAGACCTCGCTTGTATTAGACTGGACAAAAACTGTGAAAATTCAGGTATTGTCCTGTCCATGTAGGCTTTCTGTAAACTGATCGTCTTAGTGAACCATCTTCTCGTTGGCTCAGAAGTACGCAGATGATTATTATTCTCTTTCTCACAAGTCAGGCTGATGTTAGTACAGGGCCAACTTTATTGAGTAGACAATCCATATTCCTTATGCCTTTCACATATCACTATGATGCCATCAACATATCTCTTGTAGAGAGGAACTTTAACGATGAGATCATCAGGTAGGTCTTTGATATATGACATATAAATGTCAACTAGTAGTGCATCTGTCCACCTTTGAAATTGAGAAGTAATCTGCTGACAAGTTTTACTACCTGAAGAGTAGTATCAGTTCAGTTGATTGAAAGGATCTCGATACCGATTTAAAGTCTTATTTTGATCTATATCACATGTGATAACCGAATATCTACATAGAGGACACAGCATACATAGCATAGTAGTGCTTTGCTAGGGAACCAGACGTAGAGTAAGTGTAGGATTACACAGATTTGACAACAAATTAGCGCAATGATTTAACCAGTCAACTGTTAGTCATTATCAAAGTTATAGGTTAATAGCCACTCACCATAAACTTTAACCATGGTAACCTGGTAGTTATCACTAGAGTTGGTTTCAACTTAGAATTAACGACTCTGAATAAAAATGGATAATTAAAATCTTAAACAGTAATGAAATTATATTTTACTTTGATCAAAATCTTAATATTCTTAGTGTGGTGCATTGAATGAGTACACAACACATGACTACAACATTAAACACTTACCCGTAAACCCTGCCAAGGTAGGGTTCCACGATTGAAATACATTAGAACATAGCCCAAAGATTCCAAATCATCTCTACGAGACTGTTCTATACCCAAATGTGCATTAATACTAGCATATCTAGCTGTTCCAGTGAGATTTTTATCCTCTCTATGAAAATCAATTTATCATAAGCATTAATTACCGATAAGTGATATGACGTCCTGTTCGTACATCTCTATAACGTTTTGCCAAACCAAAATCAATCATATACACTTTATTACAATGACGTCCAATCCCCATAAGGAAATTATCTGGTTTAATATCTCGATGAATTAAATTCTTATTATGAACATGTTCAATTCGAGCAAGCATTTGATCAGCAAGCATTAACACAGTTTTCAATGTGAAACGTCGACAACAAAATGTGAATAAATCCTCTAAACTTGGACCAAGTAAGTCCATTACTAACACCCAATAATTTCGACAAGTACCATACCATCTAAAGTATAAAGTATAAAGTATACAAATATTTACCTTGCCTGAGGTATACCAACTGCACCTGCAAGTAGTCGATATACTTTATGTTCAAATTGAAGTTGTGGATGTTTAGCATAAATATTTTCCATCTTGACGGCAACTTCCTAAATAGGAGAAAAAAATTGACCATAAATGTTATTGAAATTAGTGTACACATGATCAATACTACATATTTTTTTAGTTCAAGTGAATATTAGAAATTCAAGAATCAGTGAATACCATCCATCTGAGCTGCATTCAATGGGTGCGTAAGCAGAGACAAAAATTAACAAGAGATACCCCTGAGTAAAACTTGGCCACTATAGTAGATTGTCATTCCATTTTAGTCTGTTTATTAGAAATGTCAGACAGTATCACTGACTGGATAACGTTTCCGACACAATCTATTTTTCATATTCATATTAGGTAAGTAACTTCAAATGTTTGAGAAAGAGTTTATATAGTCCTAATTTTCTCGCCTTCTTTGTGATGACAAGGGGAGTTAGAACTTTCCATAAATCTGGGACAGGCGTAGAATCATTTCAGTTATTAATCTTTCCCTCCCAATACCCAACTAGGTTAGTTTTTAACGCTGTCACTCTATCCCACCACCTTATTGCGTAATTGTATGCAACTGCAAGCATAGCTACACAGCCGAGCTTTTCTTTAAATTTCTTATCTTATTAACATCGAAAAAACTTGATGTAGTTTTTGTGGTGTGTAACTCTAATCGACTCTGGTTGACTACTTTCGCTTATGTATTTGACCTCAAAATCATTGCAAGGGATTTAGTAAACCAGATTATTTTGTTTAATTTCACCTACAAAGCTTGCTTGTAAGAGAGTTTGTTGGTTAAAATACCCAGCCACTTTAATCCCAGACAGTCTGATTGAGAATTCTTCGTAAGGCTTCTGAGGTACCTTTCTTGTATGATAACACAGCAGAGGCTTTGAATTCTCTCTTAACCCTGTCGCCATTATAACCATTAGTAGTGGGGTTATTATTAATAACACCTGTATTACTATTACTACTGCAATTGCTAATATTTTTCTTTCGATTTCTTATGAATTTATTGATAAATTTAGGTGAGTAATTATTGAGACGCAGGTGTTCTTGATGCATCTACTTTCTTGTCATAGATCAAAATTTAGAAATATGAATTACATTTTTGTAATCATGATCGATTTCGGGTGATCACAAGGATCTCCAGTCATGTCACAAATTCTACAAGTCGAGAAAACTGCATAACTTGTATCAATAGTGAATGACAGACCAAACTTTAGTCATCCTTCAACAAAAATGTACACAAGCATTGAGCATTGGTATAAAGTTAATAAGATAATTGGTTATTGATAAAAGCAACCACCTATATGGCTGGCCATTACTAATGTCAACATAATCATGCTGTTAGATTTGCCAGTCTTTGTCGAGCTGAATTACTTAGAAAATTCCATGCAATAAATACAAATCACCTTAATGGGTTATCACAATCAGCGTTATTTATGATCCAGTCACAATTACAAAACATGAGGGAACTAGCTCTCCTCCAGACAACACGGTCAGTATGTTCAAACTGACTGCGCTTACTATTACCACAACAGAACATTTATCGCTATAAATAGTGAATTTCATCTCTGTACAACTACAGAAAATTTACCACGGTGTATCACCCCGATTCTTCAGAAAGTGAGTAAGGTAATGAGATAAATGATAGTGGATGAAAATAACTTTATTAAAATCGTAGAAAGCCGTGAAATAAAAGCAGAGGTTGCAAAAAGTAGTGAAGTGTGATATAATGATTAAGATAAAGGCATGGATGCATTTTCACTAACTTGATCGATTCGAAATGTTTCAACTTACGGTCAGTTTCCTTTCTCATGGACCATAATGTGGAAGCCTATATTTCCTTACACTGATTTGACAGTCGGAGACTTCATGAAGAAATAACAATTCATAATTAGGTGTTCCTAAACTAATCCTAGTTTAGCTGGTATTGTATATAGAAAGACGATAGCCAACCACTTATCTGTATACGATAGTAATTTTCACACAGATAAGCCTGGTGTAATATTCAGTCTAAAAAGCATGACAACGCAGAACTTGACACAAAAGTGCATAGGTTCGAAATGACACTCCACAGCAAAGAAATAAATAAACATAGAGTCGAAGGAATAAAAAGATAGCACTGAGTGTGCTATAGAAACAACAATAAAGACAGCAGTTTAGATCCAAAAATCAATAAAATATCAGTGGGTTTCTGTAACCTCATTCAAAATGACTGATGCAACAAAATCCATTTTAACTGGCTCTGGTCACGACTACGAGCAAAAGTGACACAAATGTAAACTGACTAACAACCGACAGCAGTGGTGAAAGAAACTGAAAAGGTATAAGCACTAAGTGCAACTCAACAGTTATATCGGATTATTAAAAAAAACTGACACGATGATGACTAGTGAGACCATCATCGAGAAAGACAGATTTCTCATAACCTCGGCATAGGCGGGTAGAAAGTCGAGTGTAACACTTTGAAGGACAGTTCAACTGACTTACAGTTATGCTTCAGTTACCCAAAACCCAGCTCGAAGCCGAATGAGGTGTGTGTGTGTTGGTGCTGGAACTATCACCGACATTGAGACAGTTGTTTCAAGTCAGAAACAATACAAGCAGTAGAACCTGTTTACGTCGCCAGACGTTTTTAATGATGGAGGTAGGAAATTATTCAGTAGAGACATGAGAATCATAGGTAGTCTCATCAGAACTATCTAGATTTCTGGTCATTCCAGTCTAAAAAGATCTGCCTGCCACAACTAGAGGGGAACCCAGTTCGACTAACAAACTATTCAAAGTCCTAGGGTCAATAATTATCTGAGGCCTAAATAGAGTTACAAAACAACGCACTCAAGAGATCTAGGTAGGTTTCACACCTAGGTGATAGTCCACTGACCAGATCTTCACACTGGGACGGGTTCAGGAACACAGACGAACCACCGGCACCGACACTTCCCATATTTCTTGACCTTAAGGTAGCATTTGACTTTGTTGGTCGAGAGGTGTTTGGAAGTGTCTGATGGTGGAGTTACGATCAAGAATGTTATTTTAATTAAGGCAATCTACTTGAACTCACACAGATGTCTAAGAGCTTGAAGAGGTAACAACATCAGTAGTGACCACTAAGAATGTATTATGCTTTTATTATTCTTATTCCTGTGTGCTAGTCAGTGTAATCTTAGGTGCTTCCGACTTTTCAGGGACTGACGTTTTCTTAGGAGGGCACCTGGTTGACTTGGAGTAAGTAGATGGATAATCCCTCTAGATAAAGACGCTAACAGATGTAGTCTTTTGAACAAGCATCTGAACTTGTTCGGTATGTTTGCACCTTTTAAGTGTAACAGAATGCTTCAGAACCAGTTTGTACTGATTCCTGCTGTGAGGAGAGGGAATGAAGTGGTTGAATGCGTTAGCTAACGAAATCTTAACTTGGATATGAAAAGGTCGACTGGTGTCTGATACAATTTGCTTCACTTATTGAGTCAGTGACATATATGACTATTTGTCAAGGGCCAAGTATATTGCGCGACCGTTCGCTCTGCCCTATTGCATCACTTAAACATGGTTGTCGAAAGTGAAAGACACAAAGCGGTTACATGTTTCGGACTACAGGTGTCTTCGTAATATGTAATGGAATCGCCACTTCAGCAATGTCGAGGTTAGGTGTAGAGTATTGAGCAGAGTATGCAAGTCAGTAGCTGAAGTTAACTTTCAGAGACTGAGGTGATTTGGACACATGCTGCACGTGCCAAGCCACTTCGGTGTGCGGTGGTAGCCTAAATATGTTCAAATTGGAAGAAGGCTAAGAGTGATCCAACTACTACACATAAACAGAACCAAAACACACTCAACAGACTTCAGCAAGGTCGTGCAGTAGGCAAAGAGCCACACCCATTGAATGAGAACTAAGAATACTACCTGACTGCCCAAAACTAAGAAGGTGCTACTGGGTTCGGACCCGTGACTCAATGGTTGCAAAATCAAGTGTCTAGCCCAATGAGCCCCAGCCCCGCAAAACTACTACATTTCACCCGTCCATCAAAATTCTGGCTGTTGGTTCGAGCTCTTTAGGGAGGTGTAGTTCGTCTGGTAGTGGTCATTCAGATGGTACGAATAAACGGTAGGAGATTCCTTGAGACGACTCAAAACTGATCACAATGGCGTAGATGTATAAAAATCATTATCATCTTTGAGCGAATGGATTAACTTTCACACTTATTTCCTCTCATATATTTTTCCGACAAAAATTTTCTTTGCATGCTGGTGTGATGAGTTGTAATTTGAACTAATGCACTTCTGTACCAGGTCCCACCCCTCAGCTAACACCGGTTCTAAAATCATGAGGTTTTGTAACCCCATCAACTGATCCACTCCTAGCATAATTCTCTATGGTCACATCACATGTAAAGGATGTTATAAGCACCTACTTCTTTCATTTTCGGTGTCACAGGTAAAAAAATGCCAAGGAGGACACTCGACCCCTACTACGTAGTCGTATACGTCTCGAGTTCAAAGGATAGCTCAAGTTAGCGAAAAGTGAAGAGGCATTTTATATTCGCCCCTGGATTTTGTCAGTAACCATTTGAAGAGGGACTGTACAAATTTCGAAACCAGTGAGGCATTTCACCACTTCGCTCTCAATTGTAAGGTAAGATCTTTCCTAATCCAATACTACACATCCAGGTAGGTGGTGAGTTGGAAAAAATTTCCTATGATAAGATCAATCTCTGTGAAATCAGACAATGAGAGAAAGACACCCATGAATACATCTGCAGCAGAATTAAATAAGAATAAAGGGATTGGACATTCTTGATGTACACAACTCACCAGGGGTTGTAACATACTCATGAGTATTTGACCGCAGAGCCTTCAAAAGAGTGGTGTACTCGGCACCCCTATCAATGAGAGACACTGCCATAAGACCTCTTCAGTGACAGGAGTCAAATGTCACCTTCAGGTCAAGAAGCACAGCAAGTGTAGGGCACCCTTAAGTGTGCGTTTTGCGGGACCTAACAGTAGGTAGGTATCTGGTCCATACACTTACGATCAGAGTTGAGGTCTGCCTGGCTTTCAT